CATGTGTCCACAGTAAGACAGACTGTCTACAAATGGAGAAAGTTTAGCACTGTTGCTACTCTCCCTAGGCGTGGTCGTCCTGTAAAAATGACTGCAAGGACACAGTGCAGAATGCTGCATGAGGTAAAGAAGAATCCCAGATTGTCAGCTAAAGACCTACAGAAATCTCTGGCACATGCTAACATTTTTGTTGACACATCTACATTAAGGAAAACATTAAAGAAGAATGGAGTACATGGAAGGACACCACGGAGGAAGCCATTGCTGTCCAAAAAGAATATTGCAGCACGTTTGAAGTTTGCAAAAGAGCACCTGGATGTTCCACAGCACTACTGGCAAAATATACTGTGGGACAGATGAAACCAAGATTGAGTTGTTTGGGAAGAACACACAACACTATGTGTGGAGAAAAAAAGGGCCCAGCACACCAACATCAAAACCTCATCCCCACTGTGAAACATGGCGGAGGGAGCATCATGGTTTGGGGCTGCTTTGCTGCCTCAGGGCCTGGACGGATTGTTGTCATTGATGGGAAAATGAATTCCAGAGTTATCAAGACATTTTGCGGGAAAACGTACAACCATCTGTCCGCCAACTGAAGCTCCGCAGAGTATGGGTGATGCAACAGGACAATGACCTCAAGCATACAAGTAATTCAACAAAACAATGGCTGCAACAGCACAGAATACGCCTTCTGGAGTGGCCCAGTCAGAGTCCTGACCTCAACCCGATTGAAATGCTGTGGCATGACCTTAAGAGAGCGATTCACACCAGACATCCCAAGAATATTGCTACACTGAAACAGTTTTGTGAAGAGGAGTGGTCCAAAATGACTCCAGATTGTTGTGCAGGCCTGATCTGCAACTACAGGAAACGTTTGGTTGAGGTTATTGCTGCCAAAGGAGGGTCAACCAGTTATTAAGTCCAAAGGTTCACATACTTTTTCCTCCCTGCACTGTGAATGTTTACATGTTATGTGCAATTAAACCATGGCAACATCTAATGTTTGTGTAGTATTATGTTCAGCAGACTGTGTTCTTCTATTGTTGTGACTTAGATGACGTTCAGAGCACATTTTATGCCCAATTCATGCAAAACTCCACGTAATCCCAAGGGGTTCACATACTTTTTCTTGCAACTGTATATATATATATATATATATATATACACACACACACAGTATATAACCGCAAACCACAACCTTACTCTGAAATCTAAAGTTCAACTTAACTTCTAAGTCTATCCTTAACCAATTTGCCGCCCGCTCTATGGCCGAATGGCGGCTGCCAAATGTCATCAGCGTTCCGGGTGGACGCCAGGGCAGATTGCGCTCCTGCAGAGCCGCGATCTGTCACCGGCCGTGTACCTCGGACACGGCCGATGACAGATCTGAGTATCGGCCCCCGTTGCCAGTACCATGTGACCTGCTGTGACCAATCACAGCAGGTCATATGACAGTTGTATACAATGGATGGCTTCATTCATGCCATCCATTGTATACTAGTGTCTAGCTGTGAATGGTCACAGCTAATCACATGCACATGTCATGTGATTAGCTGTGGCCAAATCACAGCTAAGCACAAAAAAAAAAAAAACCCCTGAATGAATCGATGTCATTCAAGTAAATGCTTGCTTATAGCAAAGTAATTCTTTGCTATAAGCAAATTGTGTAAAAAAAAAAAAAATACTGATCACTTCCCCAAAGTAGTACAATTTTACTATGGTAACATTGTACTACTTTGGTCATAGTGAAATATGAAAAAAAAATCTTAAAAAAAAGAAACAAAATTTAATAAAAAATTAAAAATTAAAAAAATTAAAAAAAATATATATATTTTTTTTTTTTTTTCATACTGTCACCAGTCAGTGTCCCTGATCACCGCCATGCCAGTTATATGATGATGCTGTACTGCACTGGTGACAGTATGTAAAAAAAAAAATAGTGAAACTAATTTTTTTAATTTTTTCATTTTCCGAAAAATTATGACAAAAGAAAAAAAAACTTCAAAAAACTCGCCATGCCTCTTATGAAGTACGTCGGACTGTCTACTCTGCAAAAAGGGGTCATTTGGGGGATATCTGTACTGTTCTGACATTCTAGGACCTCAAGAAATTAGATTGGCCGTCAGTACTTCAGGATTGATCAATATTCAGATCTATACCATAGTTTGTGAACTCTATAACTTTCCTACAAACTAAAAAATACATCCTAATTTGGGTTATTTTTAGAGATGAGCGAATCGAAGTAGGCGAAGTGGAATTCGAGTCGAATATTGGAAAATTTTCGATTCGCGCCGAATCCGAAAAATAGCCTACTTCGGACGCATGAATCGAAATTTTTCCTAAAATGGCGGCGGACATGTGCGGCGACGGAGCAGGGATGTCTGGGAAGGCGCGCAGACAAGGCGCGCTGACCCATAATGCATTCCTTAATGACATGTGATCGCATTAGCCAATCAGCAGCCAGGCAGCCAGCACTGTGTAATGGTCGAGCTATAAATAGCGGCCATTTTAGAATTCTTCATTTGCCTCCAGTCATTCAAGAGAGGCAGACCGCTCTGTATTAGGGACAGAGTTAGGGCCACAGAAACATTACTTGGGGACAGAGAAACGTTACTTAGGGACAGAGAAGCATTACTCAGGGACACAGAATTGTTAATGAGGGCCACAGAATCGTTACTTAGGGCCAAAGAAACGCTAGTTAGGGCCACAGAATTGTTACTCAGGGACAGACAGATTGTTACTGAGTGCCAGAGAATTGTTACTTAGGGCCACAGAAACGTTAGTTAGGGCCACAGAATTGTTACTCAGGGACAGACACAGAATTGTTACTGAGGGCCACAGAACTGTTACTTAGGGCCACAGAAACGTTATTAGGGCCACAGAATTGTTACTCAGGGACAGACAGAATTGTTACTGAGTGCCAGAGAATTGTTACTTAGGGGCCACAGAAACGTTAGTTAGGGCCACAGAATTGTTACTCAGGGACAGACACAGAATTGTTACTGAGGGCCACAGAACTGTTACTTAGGGCCACAGAAACGTTATTAGGGCCACAGAATTGTTACTCAGGGACAGACAGAATTGTTACTGAGTGCCAGAGAATTGTTACTTAGGGCCACAGAAACGTTAGTTAGGGCCACAGAATTGTTACTCAGGGACAGACACAGAATTGTTACTGAGGGCCACAGAACTGTTACTTAGGGCCACAGAAACGTTAGTTAGGGCCACAGAATTGTTACTCAGGGACAGACACAGAATTGTTACTGAGGGCCACAGAATTGTTACTTAGGGCCACAGAATTGTTACTCAGGGACAGACAGAATTGTTACTGAGTGCCAGAGAATTGTTACTTAGGGCCACAGAAACGTTAGTTAGGGCCACAGAATTGTTACTCAGGGACAGACAGAATTGTTACTGAGTGCCAGAGAATTGTTACTTAGGGCCACAGAAACGTTAGTTAGGGCCACAGAATTGTTACTCAGGGACAGACACAGAATTGTTACTGAGGGCCACAGAATTGTTACTTAGGGCCACAGAAACGTTACTCAGGGACTCACACAGAATTGTTACTGAGGGCCACAGAACTGTTACTTAGGGCCACAGAAACGTTAGTTAGGGCCACAGAATTGTTACTCAGGGACAGACACAGAATTGTTACTGAGGGCCACAGAATTGTTACTTAGGGTCACAGAAACGTTACTCAGGGACACAGAATTGTTACTGAGGGCCACAGAACCGTTACTTAGGGCCACAGAATTGTTACTCAGGGACAGACACAGAATTGTTACTCAGGGACACAGAATTGTTACTGAGGGCCACAGAACCGTTACTTACGGCCACAGAAACGTTACTCAGGGACACAGAATTGTTACTGAGGGCCACATAACCGTTACTTAGTTACACATAATTGTTACTCAGGGACAGACACAAAATTGTTACTGAGGGACACAGAATTGTTACTGAGGGCCACAACCGTTACTTAGGGCCACAGAATTGTTACACACAGAATTGTTACTCAGGGACACAGAATTGTTACTGAGGGCCACAGAACCGTTACTTAGGGCCACAGAATTGTTACTCAGGGACACAGAATTGTTACTGAGGGACACAGAATTGTTACTGAGGGCCACAGAACCGTTACTTAGGGCCACAGAATTGTTACTCAGGGACAGACACAGAATTGTTACTGAGGGACACAGAATTGTTACTGAGGGCCACAGAAATGTTAATCAGGGACACAGAATTGTTACTGAGGGCCACAGAACCGTTACTTAGGGCCACATAAAAGTTAATCAGGGACACAGAATTGTTACTGAGGGCCACAGAACCGTTACTTAGGGCCACAGAATTGTTACTCAGGGACAGACACAGAATTGTTACTGAGGGACACAGAATTGTTACTGAGGGCCACAACCGTTACTTAGGGCCACAGAATTGTTACTCGGGGACACAGAATTGTTACTGAGGGCCACAGAACCGTTACTTACGGCCACAGAATTGTTACTCAGGGACACAGAATTGTTACTGAGGGCCACAGAACCGTTACTTAGGGCCACAGAATTGTTACTCAGGGACAGACACAGAATTGTTACTGAGGGCCACAGAATTGTTACTGAGGGCCACAGAAACGTTAAACGTTAATCAGGGACACAGAATTGTTACTGAGGGCCACAGAACCGTTACTTAGGGCCACATAAAAGTTAATCAGGGACACAGAATTGTTACTGAGGACCACAGAACCGTTACTTAGGGCCACAGAATTGTTACTCAGGGACAGACACAGAATTGTTACTGAGGGACACAGAATTGTTACTGAGGGACACAGAATTGTTACTGAGGGCCACAGAACTGTTACTTAGGGCCACAGAAACGTTAGTTAGGGCCACAGAATTGTTACTCAGGGACAGACACAGAATTGTTACTGAGGGCCACAGAATTGTTACTTAGGGTCACAGAAACGTTACTCAGGGACACAGAATTGTTACTGAGGGGCCACAGAACCGTTACTTAGGGCCACAGAATTGTTACTCAGGGACACAGAATTGTTACTCAGGTACACACAGACACAGAATTGTTACTCAGGGACAGACACAGAATTTGTTACTGAGGGCCACAGAACCGTTACTTAGGGCCACAGAAACGTTACTCAGGGACACAGAATTGTTACTGAGGGCCACAACCGTTACTTAGGGCCACAGAATTGTTAACACAGAATTGTTACTCAGGGACAGAAACAGAATTGTTACTGAGGGACACAGAATTGTTACTGAGGGCCACAGAACCGTTACTTAGGGCCACAGAATTGTTACTCAGGGACACAGAATTGTTACTGAGGGCCACAGAACCGTTACTTAGGGCCACAGAATTGTTACTCAGGGACACAGAATTGTTACTGAGGGCCACAGAACCGTTACTTAGGGCCACAGAATTGTTACTCAGGGACAGACACAGAATTGTTACTGAGGGACACAGAATTGTTACTGAGGGCCACAGAAACGTTAATCAGGGACACAGAATTGTTACTGAGGGCCACAGAACCGTTACTTAGGGCCACAGAATTGTTACTCAGGGACAGACACAGAATTGTTACTGAGGGCCACAGAATTGTTACTCAGGGACACAGAATTGTTACTGAGGGCCACAACACGTTACTTAGGGCCACAGAATTGTTACTCAGGGACACAGAATTGTTACTGAGGGCCACAGAAACCGTTACTTAGGGCCACAGAATTGTTACTCAGGGACAGACAGAATTGTTACTGAGGGACACAGAATTGTTACTGAGGGCCACAGAACGTTAATCAGGGACACAGAATTGTTACTGAGGGCCACAGAACCGTTACTTAGGGCCACAGAAAAGTTAATCAGGGACACAGAATTGTTACTGAGGGCCACAGAACCGTTACTTAGGGCCACAGAATTGTTACTCAGGGACAGACACAGAATTGTTTACTGAGGGCCACAGAATTGTTACTCAGGGACACAGAATTGTTACTGAGGGCCACAGAACCGTTACTTAGGGCCACAGAATTGTTACTCAGGGACACAGAATTGTTACTGAGGGCCACAGAACCGTTACTTAGGGCCACAGAATTGTTACTCAGGGACAGACACAGAATTGTTACTGAGGGACACAGAATTGTTACTGAGGGCCACAGAAACGTTAATCAGGGACACAGAATTGTTACTGAGGCCACAGAACCGTTACTTAGGGCCACATAAAAGTTACTTAGGGACACAGAATTGTTAATCAGGGACACAGAACCGTTACTTAGGGCCACAGAATTGTTACTCAGGGACAGACACAGAATTGTTACTGAGGGACACAGAATTGTTACTGAGGGCCACAGAATTGTTACTAGGGGGCCACAGAATTGTTACTCAGAGGCAGACACAGAATTGTTACTGAGGGACAAAGAATTGTTACTTAGGGTCACAGAAACGTTACTCAGGGACACAGAATTGTTACTGGGAGGGCCACAGAACCGTTACTTAGGGCCACAGAATTGTTACTCAGGGACAGACACAGAATTGTTATGAGGGCCACAGAAACGTTACTCAGGGCCACAGAATTGTTACTGAGGGACACAGAATTGTTACTGAGGGCCACAGAAACCGTTACTTCAGGGACACAGAATTGTTACTCAGGGACACAGAATTGTTACTGAGGGCCACAGAAACCGTTACTTAGGGCCAGAATTGTTACTCAGGACAGACACAGAATTGTTACTGAGGGACACAGAATTGTTACTGAGGGCCACACCGTTACTCAGGGACCACAGAATTGTTACTGACACAGAATTGTTACTCAGGGACACAGAATTGTTACTGAGGGGCCACAGAACCGTTACTTAGGGCCACAGAATTGTTACTCAGGGACACAGAATTGTTACTGAGGGCCACAGAACCGTTACTTAGGGCCACAGAATTGTTACTCAGGGACAGACACAGAATTGTTACTGAGGGACACAGAATTGTTACTGAGGGCCACAGAACGTTAATAGGGACACAGAATTGTTACTGAGGGACAGAACCGTTACTTAGGACATTGTTAATCTGAGGGACACAGAAATGTTACTGAGGGCCACAGAACCGTTACTTAGGGCCACAGAATTGTTACTCAGGGACAGACACAGAATTGTTACTGAGGGACACAGAATTGTTACTGAGGGCCACAGAACCGTTACTTAGGGCCACAGAAACGTTAACTCAGGGACACAGAATGTTACTGAGGGCCACAGAACCGTTACTTAGGGCCACAGAATTGGTTACTGAAATTGAACGGTTATCAGGGACACAGAATTGTTACTGAGGGCCACAGAACCGTTACTTAGGGCCACAGAATTGTTACTCACGGACAGACACAGAATTGTTATTGAGGGACACAGAATTGTTACTGAGGGGCCACAGAAAACGTTACTTAGGGCCACAAGAATTGTTTACTCAGGGTGAAGACACAGAATTGTTACTGAGGGACACAGAATTGTGTTACTGAGGGCCACAGAAACCGTTACTCAGGGGACAGACCACAGAATTGTATTACTCAGGGGACACAGAATTGTTACTGAGGGCCACGAGATAAACGTTACTTGAGGGGCACCAGAATTTGTTACTCAGGGACAGACACAGAATTGTTATCCGGGGGAGGGCCACAGAATTGTTACTATAGGGCCACAGAATTGTTACTGAGGGACACACAGAATTGTTACTATGAGGGCCACAGAATTGTTACTTGGGC